CTCTCTCTCTCTCTCTCTCTCTCTCTCTCTCTCTCTCTGTCTCTTTTCTTTTAGTTTTTTGAGACAGGGCTTTCTTGTATAGCTCTGGCTGTCCTGAAACTCACTCTGTTGAGTCTGGCCTTGAACCCAAAGAGATCCCCCTGCCTCTTCCTCCCAAGTGCTGGGATTAAAGGTGTGCGCCTCCACTGCTCAGCTAAAGCAAACCTTATAAGACAATAAATTCATGCTCTTCAAAGCTCAGTTTGTAATTAGTTATCATTGAAGCAACAAGGTCCTAACAGTTGTTACGGGGACAGCTGCACTACCCAGGTGGCCATGCACCAAGGGACAGCTGTGAATGCCAGACAAGTTTTGCTTGACACTTCAGGAGGAAGTCTTAGGCACCTAGGGGATAAAGCCCGGGACTGATGCGGAGCATGTGACAATGCTGAGGACAGCCCCCATCACATAGCGCTAGTCACCTCTTGCCATGGAGAAGCAGGAGGGCATTGAGAGCTGATGCACAGCCACACCCAGCACCACTGCTCTCCTCCAGAATGCAAGGAGGCAGGGCCCACGTCTCATCTCCACTCCGCTCCCTCCTCCTCACCGTACCGTCTGGATCAGCATCTCTAGGTCCCGAGCCTCAAACGTGTGCTGGTTCTGAGGGTCTAGGTGTTCAAACTGCTTGAGGAGGTTCAGGTGGTCCACCTGCAAGTCTGAATAAGGGAAAAAAGTCAAACAAAACAACACCCATTGTGGCTTTTCTGTCAGAGCCCCTGACTCAGGACAATAGTGTAAAGAGGAAAGTCACAGCAGGCCAAGGAGGCAAGAAGGATGGCACACATGCCTGGGCAGATACCTGAGGGTATGACGGAGGGGGTGAGCCCTCCACCGACTGTGATGCTTCAAATAACAGTAACCGTGATACAGCTGTTATGTTACTTGAGGGGACACTGGGCCTCTCTCCTACTGGTACTGAGTTCCCTAGTGTCCTTCGCTGCTTCTGTCTACCTGGCCTGGATCCTGTTCTTTGTACTCTATGATTTCTGCATTGTTTGTGAGACTTAGCAGCACACTGTGTACCCAATTGATTTTATGCCACCTATGCCAATCAATGTGGGCTTGATGTGCTTAATTTCCAGGAGGTGCCAGAACACAAGGCCAAAAGGCCCTGAGGTCCCTCCTCATGCTAAGCTAATATAACCTGCTTTGCCTTGGCACATGGTCCCTAGAAGGCCCTATTCCCTTCATTCCAATCCCCCTCCATAGCCACACACAGGACAATGACCAGATGTGCCTCTAAGTTCTGTTCCTGAGGGCTGCTTTCTGCTCTTGGTAAAGAGAATGGTTTTGAACAATAAATTTTCCTAAGTTGGTCAAAAAAAAAAAAAACAACAAAACAAAAACAAAAACAAAAACAAAAACCCCAAAAACAAAAACAATAACCATGATGACAGCTATCAATGGCAGGCCTTGCTCTTAATAGCACCTTAATACAAGTCCCTGCCTTGCTATCCTACCCTAGGAACACGGGCCATGACTAGCCCTGATTAGTGTGCTGCTATAGTGGTGGTGAGTGTCGACGTGTCTCTTTCAGTTGTATGTCACTCATCCTTGGCAGCAAGTGCCTTACTGGCTGAGCCATCCTACCAAGCCCTAAATCACTTATTTAAAACATACAATTTGATGGTTTTTAGTACATTCACAGGTACATACAAACACCACAACCATGACTTTTAGGATACTGGTCTCATAGCCCAAAGAACCATGCTGAGTCCCTTCGACAGCAACATCTTTTTCCTTCTCCAGGCGCTGGCAGCCATTCCTCCCCATCCCATCTCTGTGGATTTGGCCACGGCGGGGACATTTCATGTGCTTTGTCGTCTCTGTATCTGGCTTCGTATGGCACCCTATTCCGAAAGGTTATTTTCCTTGTGCTGATGCCAGCTTCACTAAGGAGGCAGAGACAGTGGATCTCTAAGCTTGAGGCCAGCCTGGTCCACAGAGCAAGTTCCAGGACAGCCAGGGATACACAGAGAAACTTTATTTCAAAAAACCAAAACCAAACAAACAAAAAGCAAAGACTATACCCCATGGTGGCACAGGCCTGTCATTTCAGCTACTTGGTAGGCTGAGAGAGGTGGACTGTATGTCCTGGATTTGTCTGGGGTACAAGACTGTTTTAAAAGACTGCTGCAGTGGAGTACCTTCCTAGAGTCCACTGATGAGAGGCGGGCAGTAGTGAGACTTAGCAGCACACTGTGTACCCAATGGATTTTATGCGAGTGTCCGTGTGCATGTGTGCGTATGTGTGCACACGCACACACATGGGTGTACAGGTGCATGTCACAGAGTTCATGTGAAGGTCAGGTCAACTTTGTGGAGTGGGTTCTCTCCTCCCTAGCACATGTGGTTCCAGGGATGGAACTCAAGTCATCAAGCTTGGGGGTAAGTGCTTTTATCCATCTCACAGGCCCTTATTACAGTTCAATAAAGATATTAAAAAAAAAAAAGTAGCAACATGTGGTAGCCTACACTAGCACTCAAGAGGTAGATGTAGAAGTATCAGGAGTTCCAGGTCATCCTTGGCTACATAGTAAGTTTGAGGCTAGCCGGGCTGCATGAGACCTTGTCTCAGAAAGACAAGCTTGCCACAGACCTCCCAGAAATAAACAAAAGGGGGGAAAAAAGCAGAATGTCAGGTGAAAATGTGCCAGGAAGAAAAGAAAGAAATGCTGAGTAATTGCCACTGCCTTCCCAAACCCACAGCACCAACCACCCAGTACAAAGCCACCCAGACACTGTCCATTCCCCCATACTCACTGGGCTCCTGCTTTGCATCCATCTTGGCCTTGAGCAGCATCCGCAGCCTTGATACCTCCTGTCGCTTGAGCTCGTCAAGCTTCTTTCGGACATGGTGGCTGACAAAGTCTAGCTCTCGGCTCAGCTTTCCACTCTTCAAGGACAGGAAAGGGAATACCCCAGTCAGGTCTCGCCGTAGGACCTTTCCATGTGTGGCCACCGACTCTCCAGCCACCTCTTTCCAATCAAGTGTATCTTTTAGTATTCAACAGGAATGGTACACCTCCCTTGGGAAGCATCTCCAGGCATCACCTTCACCCACACACAGAGTGCTGTGGCCGCTGCTTTCTCGGGGACTGACGCACCTGGTATCTTGACTCTGTATTCTTCCATCAGAGCTGACCCTGGCCTCTCAAGCTCAGAGCACTATGGGGCTGAAGTGTCTCTGCTAGGTACAAGGCCCTGCAACACTGCCTGCCCATCAGTCCCAAAGAGCTGCCAGACCTGGAGGCTCCTGGGGTACTCAAGACTGTCAACTTGACAAAACCTAGACTATCTAGATGACACCATCTAGAGCATGTCCAAGAGGGAGTTTCTAAACGGACTCAATTAAAGTGAGGGAGTTTCTAAACGGACTCAATTAAAGTGGGTTAACCCTCCCATGAGCTGGGCTCCAGAGCTGAGGAAAAAGCAACATGCATCGTTTTCTTTGACCTTGGACACAACACAGAGGCTGCCTTACACTCCCAATGCCACTTCTATGAGGGGCTGGGCCTGTGAACTGTGGTCAAGGATAAATTCTTCCTTAAGTTACTTTTGGCAAGTACTTTGTTACAGCCATGCAAAAAAATAGCTTAAGACAGAAGAAGCCAATCAGATGAGGCAGATAAGAACTCCAGGGCTACCTCATAACAGATGGGAAACTGAGGCACGGTAAATTGAGGTTCCACAGCTGGCAAGTAGTAGAGCAGAGAACTCACGTCTATGTTTCGACGCATCTTCCCGGCTGTGGCGGAGAAACTCCTTTGAGCACACCCTCCCCTAGCCCATGTCTGACGCACCTTGATGTCCTCAGCGTTGGCAGCTTGCAGCTTCTCACGGAAGTGCCCATCTGTCTCTAGCACATTGATGACCTCCTGGAGGTATCGGTGGTAGTATAGGCCTGTGTCCTGGAGAACAAGGGCAAACATAGCAACACCTGCCTTAGCCTCTAAGTTTCTTTCCCTCAGCCAGGACCACAGCTCAGCTCCTAAGCTGCAGCTGATGTGGTCTCCACACACAACAGGAGGCCTGCTTGACTAGCTGGTTACTCCAGAGCCAGACCAGTTCCAACCCGACCTTCTGCCAGTGTCCACCTCCTGGAAGGTTCTATGGCATGGCACTCAAGAAATGAAATATGGGGGAGCGCCAGAGATGCTTCTCACATGAGCATTTGAATTACAGCCCAAGAACCCACTTGAAAAAAATGCCACTCATGAACTGCAGAGACAGCTCAGGTTTTTTGTTTTGTTTTGTTTTGTTTTTTGTTTTGTTTTCCAAGACAGGGTTTCTTTGTGTAGCTTTTAGACCAGGCTAGCCTCGAACTCACAGAGATCCACATGCCTCTGTCTCCCGAGTGCTGGGATTAAAGGCATGCACCACCACTGCCCGGCTAGAGATAGCTCAGGTTTAAAAGCACTTGCTGCTCTTGCAGAGGACCCAAGTTCAGTCCTTGGCACCCAAATCTGGTGGCTCACAGCATCTGTAACTCCAGCTGCCGGGGACCTGATGCCCTCTTCTGGCTTTTGCAACATAAACACATATACACATGAATTTTTTTTAATAAAAGTTTTAGAAAATAGTAAAAATAAATCTCACAAGGGAAGCCAAGTATGTCAGTGCATGCTTGTATTACCAGCTCTGCAGCTGAGGCAGAGGCATGTCTGGGAGCTCTCTGAACCCACAGCCCAACCTCTGAGGAACTCCAGGTCCAAGTAAAACACCCTGTCTCAAAACAAGGTAGATGGCTCCTGAGGGAGAAGCCCAGCAGCTGACCTCTGGCCTTCCCGAGCATTTGCACATGCACCTGTACACACAAATATGATTAAAAACCTGGACATACACACTTACACAAAAAAAGGAAAAGAAAATTACAGGGAGAGGCCAGGTTTGGTAGTACCCACTTATGATCTCAGCACTAGGGGCCTAAGGCAGAAGGACTGCTTCAAGTTCAAGTCCAGCCTGGGCTACAGGGTGAGCTTTTGCCTTTAAAACAACCACAACAATCCAAACAAAACAATGAAGGGCATCAGGACTGGAAATGAAGGAAATGGGACTCAACTGTGCCTTATTGTGTCTGCAGAAATTCCATAGAGCAGCAGCTGCCCACAGACCTGCCTGCTGTGGGTCCTGAGTTCTTACTCAAAAAAGCACAGCCTTTGGGGCTAGAGATGGCTCAGCCATTAAGAGCACATACTGCTCCAGCAGAGGACCCACACTGGTCCCTTACCACTGCCTGTAACTCCAGCTCCCGGGCATCCAATGCCCTCTTTGGGCTTCCTTGAGCACCTACATTAACATGTGTGTACCATACACAGACAAAAATACAAAATTAATAGCCTGGCATGGTGGTGCATACCTCTAATCCCCACACTCTCAGCTCCACATGTAGAGTCACCTTCTATATTACCCCCTCCAACTGAGGGGCTTTATTATTAAAAGGGGTGGCTATTCTCATGACATACTCTCTGGGTATCTCTATGTTAAGAGGGAGTAGCTATTCTCATGACATACTCTCTGGGTATCTCTATGTTACTTCCCTGTGATAAGGACCCCACAGTGGTTGTTTGTTTTTTGGTTTTTTTTTTTGGTTTTTCGAGACAGGGTTTCTCTGTGTAGCTTTGGAGCCTATCCACACTTGCTCTGGAGACCAGGCTGGCCTCGAACTCACAGAAATCCGACTGCCTCTGCCTCTCGAGTGCCGGGATTAAAGGCATGTGCCACCAACACCCGGCTTTGTTTTGTTTTTCAAGACAGGGTTTCTCTGTGTAGTCCTGGCTGTCCTGGAACTCTGTAGACCAGGCCTCGAACTCAGAGATCCATCAGCCTCTGCCTCCCCAGGAGGGCTGAGATTAAAGGAGTGCTCCACCACCACCCAGCACCCATGGTGGTTTTAAGGTGCTTATCCTACATCATGGACCAAATGGACACTGCAGGTTTCCTGAAGACTATGCACTCTCAACACATGTGTCCCGTGTCATTCTGTTCCCTTCTGGTTCCTTTTCAGTCACTCCAAATCCTTACAGGGAGGAAATCAATGCAATATGACAGGGCAATCCTATCTTTATTATGTTTTGTTTATTTTATTTTATTTGAGACAGGGTCTCTTTACATGACTCTGGATGTTCTGAAACTCACAATGTAGGCCAGGCTGACCTCAAACTGGCATGCCAGGCAGAACAGACTGTCTTCAAATGGCACCCAACGTGGTGGCAAGAGTTGTCACATAAAACCTGACAAAAGCTTAGAAAGGGGCCAGGGTTGGTGGTGCATGCCTTTAGTCCCAGTACTCGGGAGGCAGAGGGAGGAGGATCTCTGTGAGTTCGAGGAGTAATTTTAAAAAAGCCACGTAAAGATGGAAAATACACAGAGAGTCTGGACATTATATGTTATTCTGTCTTTGAATTGTTTGATTGCTGAGGAAAGAGAAACAGCTGCTAACAGACATTTGACTATAAATGCTGCTAGATTAATCCAATTTACATATTTTGAAAATGCCTTGACTTCAAAATTTAAGTCTAAGGACATGTTACATTGGAAAAGAGGTTCTGCTTTTCCATGAAAAACTGTGGATTCCTTCCAGACCAATATGGTTTGATCAAGCAAGACCCCCCTGAACCAGTGGCTCAGGTGATCCAGCATCCAAACAGCTGAGACTATGAAGCCTCAGACTACTACAGACAGGATTTGGCCATGTTTCTGGGTTTCTCAGGATCCCCATGGTGTTGACAGTGCCCCCAAATAGCAGAAAGCAGTTTGGAGAGAACTATACCCAAATTCCCAAGTATTGTTTAGAAATGTTTGTTTTCACTTAAATGGGGCTGGTTATAAATGGTTAATAATTACAGTCAATCTCTTTCTAAAGAAAAAAAGGAATATGATATAGAAATGAATACTTTGGATTGGTATGGATTTTGGTTTACTGATAACAATTTTCTTTTAAAGATTTATTTATTTATTATATATACAACATTCTGCTTCCATGTATATCTGCACACCAGAAGAGGGCACCAGATCTCATAAGGGATGGTTGTGAGCCACCATGTGGTTGCTGGGAATTGAACTCAGGACCTCTGGAAGAGCAGTCAGTGTTCTTAACCTCTGAGTCATCTCTCCAGCCCCCTACTGATAACAAATTTAAGGTCAATTTTGTTCTACGTATATTTCTACTCTTGTTTAGGTATTGTGTTTATACAGCTCACTTAAAAATGTAATATATAATTACAGATTATAGTCACCTATAATAGTCAAAATTTACGTTAGTTAGGTTTTCTAGATATATTTCAAATGAATAGGTATTCTTCAAAAACCTTTCAAAGACCTTCAGAATATGGCATTTAAAATGGTTTATTAGGGTTTTTCATGAAAAAGAGATGCAATTGCTCCTGACAACACCAATTACATCAGAGAAGAAGATGGACATTGAAGAAATTCTATATGGAGTTTGCCTTCAACATGGCAAGACTAGCCATTCGGGCAAGAAACTGCTCTTGCCTGGACTGTTTGACTGTATGCTGTATAAACTGGACATGCAGTACCTACAGGAAAGTGACTGCTGAACTTGCCAAAACAAGATGGGGCAGTCCTGCACGGTTCCTGCTTCATGAAGAGTCTGCCAGACACTATGACCTATGGGCTGAGATGGATGCCCCTATGTTACAGAGCAACTTTGGGTGACTGTTCAGGCAGTGAGATGTCTTTGTCAATTTTAGAGTTTATGTATTATCTTTCTCGAGTCTTTGACAGAGTTGAAGACAGATAGTTACAGTTATGGTTTTCCTTAGTTATGATGAAAGATAAGTTACACATAAAACTTTAGACTCACAAAAATAGGATGATAGAATATTTTCTTTAAATTTTGCCAATTTTTTTTTTTTTTTCCCGAGACAGGGTTGCTCTGTGGCTTTTGGAGGCTGTCCTGGAACTCGCTCTTGTAGACCAGGCTGGTCTCAAACTCACAGAGATCCACCTACCTCTGCCTCCCAAGTGCTGGGATTAAAGGCGTGAGCCACCAACGCCCGGCAATTTTGCCAAATGTTAATGGACTAAATATTGTAGTTATAATTTTTGCTTGATAACTGTTTTGTTATATATAACTTTACTATGTTAAAGTTAAAACTTTTTTTTATTTAGACAGAAAAGAGGAGATGATGAGGGATATCCTTCTGTATGCTGTGAATATATGTCTCTCTTATTTATTTATTTATTTATTTATTTTGGTTTTTCGAGACAGGGTTTCTCTGTGGTTTTGGAGGGTATCCTGGAACTAGCTCTTGTAGACCAGGCTGTTCTCCAACTCAGAGATCTGTCTGCCTCTGCCTCCTGAGTTCTGGGATTAAAGGTGTGAGCCACCACTACCAGGCATATGCTTCTCTTATTGGTTGATGAATAAAACACTGATTGGCCAGTACGCCAAGCAGTAAGTATAGGTGGGGCTACCAAATGAGGAGAATTCTGGGGAGAGGATCAGAGGGATTCCACCAGAGAGACACCATGTAGCCACCAAAGTAGGGTGCCTAGGCATTAGCCAGTAAGTGAACACCATGTCAAGATAATAGAATAGAAATGGGTTAATAATTAAGAGAGAGCTAGACAGTAAGAAGCCTGAGCCATCAGCCAGTTTATGATTAACATAAGCCTCAGAATGTTTATTTGGGACTTGTAGGGCAGTGGGATCAGGTGGAATAGAAATTCTGTCTTCAGGACCCACCTGCCTCTGCCTCCTAAGAATCTGGGATTCAAGGCTTGTGCCACTATGCCCAGCTTGCTTTATTATGTTTTGTTTTGTTTAAAAAAGTTTGATCCTTCCGGGCGTTGGTGGTGCAAGCCTTTAATCCCAGCACTCGGGAGGCAGAGGCAGGTGGATCTCTGTGAGTTCGAGGCCAGCCTGGTCTCCAGAGCGAGTGCCAGGATAGGCTCCAAAGCTACACAGAGAAACCCTGTCTCGAAAAAACAAAAAACAAACAAACAAACAAAAAGCTGGTCTTCCAGAATTCCTGAGTTCAATTCCCAGCAACCACATGGTGGCTCACAAACATCTGTAATGAGATCTAGTGCCCTCTTCTGGTCTTCAGGGATACTGGCAGACAGAACACTAATGCACATTTAAATACATCTTAAAAAGAAAATGAATGGCCAATAACTTCCAATTTAAGTTTTTTGGGTTTTTGTTTTTGTTTTGATTTTTAGAGACAGGGTTTCTCTGTGTAACATCCTTGCTGTCCTGGAACTCACTCTGTAGACCAGGCTAGCCTTGAACTCAGAGATTTCTTGCCTCCCAAGTGCTAGAATTAAGGGCATACACCACCACGGTCCAGCTTTGAACTGCTATCTTCCAGGACAGCCAGAGCTACATAGAGAGACCCTGTCTTGCAGGGAGGAGGAAGAGTCCATCCAACAATACCGGTCAGTCATATGTCCACTGCTCAAGAAGGCTGATTTGCCTCCAGGCATGCTAAGGGACAGGAGGAGCCCAGGCCATTTCCTTAATGAGGTAATGTATTTCCAGGCCAGAAGCCCCTCCCTGGGTGCAGCTGTTGGCTGATCTTCACTGCTGAACCTGGCACTTTTCAGAATTCTCATTCAAAAGTGTTAACATTTCCTTCCACCCCTTCTCTGGGTCTCAGCAAAAACCCTAAGTGTGCTTGTCCCGACACTCAGAACACTCGGCTTCTCAGAAGCCCTCCTGTATATGAAGCACCTAAGACCTACACAAGGCTCAACCTGTCTGCTTTCTTCCACCCTATCTCAAAAACCCTGGCTTTGGCTTTGGCTTTCTCTTTCATCAACCCTCTTCCTGGAACCTGCCAAGACTGTCCTATTAGTCCTGTTATTCATTCAAGATTTCACAGAGTGTACTAACACCTTACAAGAGGCCATGCCACACAGGAGCTTGGAACCACCTGTCTCAGGTGGTGGCCACAGCTTATATTGCTAGGCAAAGTGATAGGAAGAACTAGACAGTAAATCAGGTACCTGGACTTTGAAAGTTCCAACTCCCCTGAGAACAAATGTTTCACAGGTTGAATACACATTGTTGAAATGAGTAAATCAGCCATTCCCATGTCTTTTTCCCATTTAAACTACACCTCCCATGAGCTCTGTGAAGGAGGAATGCCATAGCTAGGTAGTAACATCCAACGGCTTATGGTGCTATTGGGAAATGTAGTTTTTCTTTTGTTTTCTATATTCCTGGTTAAGCAGGATTTTAAAGATCAGAGAGGCTTAGGTGAGGAAGTGACATGGGTTTTCATTTGAGATCTATCTCGATTTTCATATCTCATAGGTGAGGGGGTTCGGTGGGGGGCAGATCTGCTGCACTACGGCTGCACACACTACTGCAAAGGAAGGCAGCTAACCACACGTCTTGGCGTGTTAAAAAGGGGATCCCTGGAGTTTTCACCAGGGCCTTGGGGATGGCAAGCACTGCACTACTGCAAACACGCCTGAGCACAGGGCAGGGCTACTCACCGGGCTCTCAGTGGCCTGGCTGTCCTCCTGATGGGGGGC